ACTATAGGTTAATTCTTAATTTGCAACCAATTCTTTCCGCATATACAAGCATCAACCATCTTTGCACCTAATAAACTCCTAAATGAATCAAGTATCTGACCTCCAGTTGAGAATGCGACTCAGAAGTAATTGTAGAAATTTGAATTCTGAAGAGGAAAAGATTTTTGATGGATTATGTTAGTCTTGAGATTATTAGATATAAATTAGGATTATTTGGTAATAATAATATTTATGTAATAGAAAATTATAAATTGACAAAAATACACACAAATGACAAAACTATTGAATTTTACATATTTGGATGAATTTTCAAAAATTTTCATTTTTTTTAATTTTTTTAATTTTTATATATTTTTTCGCCGGTCCAATTTGGTTTTAAAATACGATTTCGGTTCAAAATCATTTCGTAGACGGGTCCACGTGGCACCAAACCGACAGTTTCTAAAATACGATTTCGGTTCGATTTTTCGATTTGACGATTTTAACCTACCGCCCTAATCTTATCCAATTATGACTCAAGAAACCCATACATCATCGTCTATGTCATCTTTGGTGGGCTAAATTGACTCCGCATACTTGCTAGCAGCATCAACCACAAGGTCCACAACATCGCATGTGAAATGTTTATATATTGTATTGTCTATTTTAGCACGCCAAACAATTCCGGGTGGGCACATCTGTGTGCTAGACTACGTTATAGACTAGATGAACATCAGCATATGAAAATATACGAAGTACATAGGTGATAATGTAGAAACGAGCATTACCATCAAACCTTCATTTCATATCATTTTGAAATATTACAAAATTGTAACACTAGCTAAGTTGAGCTATATTGTAACCCGGTCCATGCCACTTCGACTAGCCCTAGACTCTGCTGGTTTCTCTCGAGAAATGACAGACGAAGAATGATTTCCAGCCTGTATATGGGCTTCAGAAGTGAGAACGAGGGACTCCCGTGTCAAAATTTCCTTCTCTTAGACGGGCCTTGGTCGATAATGGGATCAACAGGCGGCTGGGTGTCTGCTTGCTGATTTTCAGAGCTTTTCTCCCCTTCTGCAGTTGGAGGGGCATAGCCTTCAGGAAAGGGAGGTGGTGGTGGAGCAGGTGGTAGCTGCACGAAATAGAATATTGCTTAGCACTTGACGCCCATTGTATGAAATGATAATTTTCAAAAGCAAAACCATAACCACTTATCAAATTCAAAACAGGCATGATTATCAGCATCTTCATAAATTCGAGAAATAACGTAATATAAAAATAGAACAAGACCATGAGCATTTTGGCTATAGCTTCAAAGAAAGTAAAAGATTGTTTCCAAAAATGTCTAGACATTTTTTAAGAATAGAAGTTACTTATTTTCAGAGTAACTCTTATCTCACAGTCAAAATAATTATCGTACATATTTCCAGGCTCCAGCCCTGACCAATAAAAGGGTTATTTTAAAACTTAATTTTGCCAAGGTGGACACTCAGATGGAAAAGCCTATCTTCACTTGAAGAAGTGGACATGATTTAGAAAACGTACTTTCTCTCTCTAAGAGTGATCTCTTAATGTAGTTTCCTCTGTTAATTTCTTCCAGACAATGAATTGGCAAATACAGATAAAACAACAGATTTTCTATTCGGATACTTGAGTTACCTTGCGTTGCAGCGATGCTAGAATATGGTCCAGTCGCTTAAGTTCCTTAAAGTCAATGGCCTCCTTGGTGGCTTTTGATTCTGGGACTGTATTCTCATTTTCAGCATCAACTATATTGAAGAAGAATTAATGATCCACGGTACAAACTACAGTACTGAGTATAGAAAAACAGTGAACAATTTATACTTAAAAGTAACACAATGAAATCTATGAAGTAGGTGCTTAAAATAACAGTCATTCCAGAATCCAGCCATAGACATAACAAACTTTATATCCAAATACTATATAAATTCAGTCAGAATATATATAGGAGGCACTGCAAGGGCCTTGTAAAGTAAGCATGCACTTGACTAAAGGAAATAAGAGACAAATGTATGCAAATCAAGTCTGGAGAGCAAAACAAAAAGGCAAACAGCTAGAAGATCATCGAAAGAAGCCTTCATCTACTACTAAATGTTCAAGAGGTTAAGTGTTCTCCTATACCATGTTAGTGCGACAAACTAAAAGTTCTATACAAATTTCTCAAAATAAAAATTCGCTGAAAAGTTACAAACAAGAAACACATGCAGTCATAATTCTCTACATGTACAAAAAATAGGATGCAAATGAATTACACTTGCGAAAGCTATATCATTATGAATTCTGACGAGCTAGCATATATACAGGTTTATGTCATAATTGTATTGTTTGTCAGCAGCCATAAGCATTTAAGCCAAAACTTGTATATAATAAGTCAATACTGGGTCGGTCGAGACTCTTTCTTAGTGAAGTGGGAAGACAGCACCGAATCAGACGGGCACAGAAGAAGAAGTGGTTTCATCCGACCGGCGAGATAGTTCGATTAGAGTGGTAATAGCCAATGAGCAAGAATAGAGCGGACAAGTGACAGGAATATTTTTGCTGATGATATTAGACAAGGCTTAAAGCATTTGTTGAACAATGGCATAATAGAACTTCAGTAACTAATGGCAGATCCTTTAAAGAGATCGTTGTCAAGCTTAACAGCTAACAGTTCTTAGATCCTGCGCAAAAAGAAAAAAACAACACCCTTTTCCCCTAATTATCTCGTACAAAGGATCAATGGAATGCTAAAGAAGATTTTTGGAACCATGAATTTGTGATACTGTATAGAAAGTGAATGCTTTAGCAATATCATATAACTTTCGCCTGTACAAAATCTCTATAACACAAATTACTCAACGTCATAAGGTCATTAACCAATCATTGTAGAAATTAAGGTGTGTAACAAATTGTAATTATCAAGTGGCAGTTGACTTCCAGAAAGCACAAAAAATATGAACATCAATCAATAATAATATAATCATATAGCCAGAGGCGGAGGGAGGGGGCGACACTGGGTTTTAGTCCAGGGTTGCCCCAAGCCCATTTAATCTATATATAGGTAAAAATAAATTTTCTGGAATATTTTTCTATGTATCAATCTTGTACAAAAAAAAAGGGTCTCCTCTGGCTCCACCCTGTATATAGTAGAACCACATTTACATATTATCTACAATTCAATGCAAAATTTGACACTAAGAAACCATAACCTTTGCAAAAATTGAATTCCTGCACTTGTGTGATGATTTTTCTTTTTCTTTTTTTAACAACAGATAATTCCCTTTGTATATCTAAGAGCAGTGCTTTAGATTAAGACGGCAGGTGAAAAATACTAGGACATATAATTCAATTACTATTTTATCTATTTCCCTATGATTAGCCTCTCACTGGGCTTCAAGGTGTTGTAGCAATAATGCATCGCTTCATCCTTTACCTTAGGTCCATAATAAAAGGCATAAAGGTTCACGTGAGTTACCAAATCCAATTTTTTCCAACTTCGATGCTGCTGTAGTAAAAGCTTTTGATATATGATATAGAGCTCGTCCCTGCCAAATGACGACAAAAAACATTTCAATACAAAGAAATATGGGTTAACTCTTACTATCCATAACTGCATTTCATCTTAGAAGTTAAGGAAAAATAAGGAAATCTGGTATCTTAAAATAAGGAAGAACGGTATGATGGCTTTGCCACCTAACACTTATTGTCCACAACTACGTTTCAGTTAGTAAGATAGAAACTATATAAAAACTCTACTTATAACCAATAGACAAGGTATGATGGCTTTGCCACCTAAAATAAAGATTAATTCTCAAATAAATGAATTTCAGATTTTACACTGAAATCCTTTCAATTTTCAAAGATTAACATTGCCGTTATTCCCACACAGCCCTGCATCAAAGCAGGAAAAGCTTTCCTTGAACTAACTTTGTCAGTGCGCAATTCCTCAAACGAACAAGGAAATTGCATAATCTCAATAAAATATGTTTAAGACTTCCTAGGACTACTGGAGAATCTGTGTTCTACTACTACGCATAGGTGGAAGGAACAAAGCAACCACTGATTCTTTGTGTAGAAAAGAGGATAAAATAAAATAGTTTAAGCAAGAGGCACTAGCTAAACATATTCTCATCATTTTTAGATATCTCATTTAGGCTTTTACCGAATTTTACGAGTACAGCTTATAACCAAGGTAGTCACTAATGAAGCAAACCGCCATAAAACATTCTAGGTTTTCCTTTTTCCCATACTCCAAATTTGTTGGCAAAAAAAGAGAGAGAGTGAGAGAAATAAAGAAAGATCTAATTTTTGCTTCAATAACCAACATGCAAAAGAATTGGAAAAAAGGGTATGCAAAACAAACCAAGTAAACATCTTACAAAATCGTTGATCAGCATCAATCCTGCTGATGACCAAATAATATATAGAACTTGCTGGTCACTCATGGGAATAGAGAAAAATGAGTAAAGGGATACTTACAACTCGTGCAGCAAAAACATTGCAAAGCTGAGGAGCCTGATAAATTGACCCATCCAAGACGTAATACGTTAGCATAGGGGTCACTTTCTCCGGACTATCTCTCTTTTGCTTACGAATCACAAACAGATGAGGCTCCGTCACTTCACTCAACATGTACTCTATGCCTGTCATTTTCCTGTATACACAGATCCATCCAAATGAAAAGAAAAACTGAAACCATATAAATTAATCATCTTTAACCCATTAAACTCAAATCCATCAAAACTTTTCATCAAAAGATGGAACAAAACCAAACTTGTCAAAATTACAAAAATTTGCCTTATCTAATCCTTGTCCAAAATAAATATTGGGGATTAATATTTTCCCCAATATAAGTTTTAAAAAGTGAATCTTATATTTCACAATCATCTGTTGTAGCAAAATATTTTATTTACCAATTCTTTGAATCCATAATTAATAAATTTAAAAAATTAAAAAATATCAAAAAAAATCAACTCCTCCACTTCAAAGGTCTTTCTTTTTTTTCCCCCATTACCTTCGATCGGAACCATACAGTACAATTCAAATTTACCAATTAAATAAAACTATAATTTAGCTACGGAAGACAATTTTAAGCAGAAAAAGGCAAATTAGGAGAAAGGGGATATATATAAATACATAAACGAGTCGGCTATGCAGATATGAACTTTTATGTATATATATCTACTTACAAGAGTTGAGAGTGGTCAAGGGGGTGGATGGAGCGGAGTCGGAGCTGCTCGTTGTTGCACGTGTAGTCGTAGAACGGAGAAAGAGCAAAGTAATCGAACACCAAATTCCGATCTAGTGGGTAAGTGTTAAGCCACAGCTGGTCCCGGAAGCATATGCCGGTCATATCTGTGCCAGGTGGCGGTGGCGCCGCCATAGGTGGTGGTGCGTCGAAATTCGGGTTTCCAGCCGAAGCCGGGTTTGGCGGTACCATCGGCGTCGTTGCCATTGCTTCTACTTTTTTAACAGTTGATTTGTTTGCACGACTAATATATTAATAACCTCTTTCGGAAATAAAAAAGAAAACTATCTAAAGAAATAATTTTCAAAAAATAATTTCTCACTTCTTTTATTTAATATTAGAAATTATTAATTACAAAATTCAATATTGTATTCTCTTGGTTAAAAATAAAGATATTTTATGATTATGATTTCCTAATTATGATTACAAGATTTTAATCACAAGAAAATAGAGTACAACTTATTCAATTAATTTTCATATATATATTCGTATATTTTCGTTGTATTTAGGTGTAAATAATTTTTTTCAAAAAAGAAGGTAATAACCTCCTTTCACGCGACTCGACTCGACTCGACTTGATTATGTGAAGTAAAAAAATTAATTTGTATCAACTTTATTAATTTAGCAACGGCATTTTGACTAAAAGAAAAATTACTTAGGGCATGTTCGATTTGGCATCATTTCCATAGAATTTGGAAACGAAATTCCATCCTCTTGGTTTTGGCTTGCTTGATTGGGAAGATTTTATTGGCAATTCATTTTCTTGGTTTTAGCTTGCTTTATTGGAAAAATTTTATTGGCAATTCTTTTTCTAGGTTTTGGCTCACAGGGTCCCAATTCATTGATTTTGGGGAAAATCAATTTACTTTTTTATTTTTATTTTTTTCCCCCAATTATAACAAATTATATCCATTTAATTGACAATTTTCATATAAAACAAGCCAAACGAACATCAAAACATTCAAAATTTCAATATTTTTCCACTTGAAAAATTATATTAATCAAACACAATTAATTAACAATTTCCAGAAAAATAATTTTAGACTATTCAATTTCCTGTAATTCATTTTCTTTCCACCTAAATTCCACTCTTGCAATCAAAACGGATCCTTATTTCAATCTACTTAATCTTAAAACCAGAAAAACTCGAAAATCTTAACCATTTGATTAATTCTTGATATTATTACAAATCTTGTACTCAAAAATTATAATAAAACATAATAAAAAATTAAAAATATAATATAATATAATCATTAATAAAATCATTAATTTACCTGTCAAAAGAAAACAGAAGGCACCTTTGAGGCCTACTAATAACTCGGGGATTCGCTTCCCCCACAGCCTCTAATTAGAGTTTTCCTTTCCTCCACAAACAATCACCAAATAATTTCAACAGCAATTTTCCGGCAATATCTCTTCCTGTTTTCTTGTACACAGACAACGATGTTTTTTTTCCTATGATAAACATGTATTCATTCAATCAATGCTTAGGATTTTCTTGATCAATCCTCCAAAAGGTTACCTTCTTGATGGAGAAATTTGCATCCCGGCCCCAAATTCATTGGGAATAAGGCTTAGTTTTTTGTTGTTATTTCCGTGTTTAATAATTTTCTGTTCTTCTGATGCAATGTAAGGATATGTTACTCATGCAGACAGAGAAATATATAGAGATAACCATTTTTATTCATCAAGATTGTTCCTAGGGCGTTCGGGTTTTTTTTCGTTTGAAGAGGATAAGAATTACATGAATGGCTCATCGTGGTCACACGAGGTCCCAATCATTTTCCTCTTCTCAGCCACCTCCGTCTCAGAAATTGAAACACGACCCCGTGATAGATAAAACTGCTCACAGCACGGTGTCATGCGTTTACCAAACACATATCGGAGGGTTCTGGCGAAACGTGACAGTTTTATGGAGCAAGAACCCGATGAACAATTCATTAAGCATATCGGTCGATAGCATGCAAAGTGATCACAATCAGACGTGCAAGATTGATTTCAAACCTTGGCATTTTTGGGCAAAAAAGGGTTACAAGACTTTCGAGGTTGATGGAAACCAATTGGACGCCTACTGGGATCTTCGATCAGCAAAATTTTCCGGCAGCCCAGAACCCTGTAAAGATTTCTATGTCGCGTTAGTATCTGACGAAGAAGTTGTGTTACTAGTAGGGGATTTCAAGAAAAAGGCTTATAAGAGGACAAAATCCAGACCTGCCCTTGTCGATGCAGCTCTGTTTTCTAAAAAAGAACACGTTTTCGCCAAGAAATGTTTCTCCACAAGAGCCAAGTTTGATGACAGGCAAAAGGAGCACGAGATCATAGTAGAGAGTTCGACATCAGGGAATAAGGATCCCGAAATGTGGATCAGCATAGATGGGATTGTACTGATACACATTCGGAATTTGCAGTGGAAATTCAGAGGAAACCAGACCGTATTAGTTGACAAGCAACCAATACAAGTCTTTTGGGACGTACATTCTTGGCTATTCTGTGCCCCGGGCTCCAATCACGGGATGTTCATCTTCAAGCCTGGTACAGCAGAAGCAGATAGTGATAAGGAAGAAAGCAGCCAATGTGATGATAGTGACAGCAGCGACAATAGCTGGTATTACTCGACAAAAAGCTATGTGAAAGCATCACAGTTCTGTCTTTTCCTATATGCGTGGAAGATCGAGTGAGATAAAATCTAGCCTTCAGAGTCGAAGCCTGCACCTTGAGCATAGTCTATTACATGATTGTATTTGGCCTAATGATCATTGATCAGAGTAAGTTTAATATATTGTAAATGAAACGATCATGTTCTTGAAATTACTGTAGAAACACATGCAAATTACAGAAAAGAAAACTTAATGCAGATCACTGAGTATTCGATGTAAGCAATAGAGCAAATATTGACTCGAGAACAGAAAATAACTCTACATAGAATTCGAATAAGGTCTAATCAGTTCTCTTGACTCGATGTCTTCCATGTGATCTTAGTGAGTCAACTAGATCTTTGTATCGAGTTAAGTGACTTGTAGAGTTGTAGTGATGTCCACCCTCTTTACCTTTGTGCAAAGTATGACACAAGGATGCTAAAATATAAATGATGAAAGAAAAGGAAACCAACACGGTCAAGTATCGTGCAACCTATCCAGCTAGGCACTAGTCAATCACGTACGTGTGTCGATTCTAATAAATCAATAATTCATCGGCGGAACAGTAATGCTCTGAATCTTAATTGAATTTCCATGTATTTAATTAGTTTCACTACCAAATATTTAAAAACATAAAATAATATTATATCAAACTGCTCTGATGTCGTTCGAAAAAAGATTTTCAAATAATTTTAGGATATCGTATGATTGTCCAGAAAGTACATATTTAACTTTAAAATAAATCAATTATCTTACATGAACTTAAATAATACATACTTTTAATATTATCTTATAAATATTTAATTCAACTCGATAAAAACAATATAATTTCGAACCCGAGATTAGCTAGTGTCCAAAAAATGCTGCTCGATTCAGCCCATTGGTTTGTAGGCCGCTCAATTCAACCCATTGGCTCGTAGGTCTCATTGCTTGGATGATCCCACCACGAGCATTATCCTCATCGAAGATTTTAGAGAAACATCGGAGTTCATAATCAATAAGGTTGTTCCATAGACGAAAATCACAGCAAACAAAGAAATCTGTGTACAATTCATGAATTTTGTCACATTTAATGGCATTGCCTCGAATTCATAAATGTGATTTATCAAATAATTTAAAAAACATAGTAGTAAAAATAGAAAGACACTTGTAATCAAACATGTTGCAACCAATATACCCTGAACAATTTTCTTATCAACGGAGAAAAGGAAAGTATTTTTGCTACTAAACTTAATTATAAGGATTTTTAAAAGAAAAAAAAAGTGCCATTTTGAGCAGCCATTTCTACCCAGTTAGGCACACAAAAACAACTGCAGAACCTTATAGTTCGTCGTGAGAATCTCCAGTCACCACATGAGTTTCTGTCTGGCGTTCAAGAAGATACCTAACGACCAATGAAGCGTGCATTGCAGCACCATAAGGAGGTCCGTCTTCGCTTAATTGAAAATACGGTGAATGTGGTAAGGGATTATGTTTCATCGAATCATCCTTCATTCCTAGAAAGAAGAAGTAGCTAGGTATTAATTCCTGGAAAAAGGCGAAATCCTCGGAACCCATTAATGGTTGCATGTCTTTCACTCCATCAGTGCCGAACATGTCGCTTGCAACTTTCTGGAAGAATTTATGCAAGTCTTTGTCGTTTACAGATGGTGGGAATAAAGGTTTCTCATTCGAGGAAAAAATAACGGTTGCGTTGCATCTTTGAAAGCGGCTCTTGTCCCATAATTACCTGTAAATGAGGAACATGAGCTTCTTTATACTAGCCACGGTGAAACACATAATGATCATCAGCAAAGGCAAAGCAGAAAATTGCAACTTGGGAACTACACAAGTAGGAAGTCGTGCCGTTTGAAGAAAGATCGAATTGGAAATCTATGCTCTTACGGTTACCAATCACTCATTTCACGTCCTTATAACCTGGTCAATCATCATAACCTTTTATATAATGCATTTGGCCATCTGGCATTGCAAGATACAAGATACAGAGAGATTGAAGGACCTAAGAGTCAAGAGGGTAAGCTTCCCGAGAAAAAAGATGCCGTAAGCTGACCAACACATTTGATACAGCCAATATAGGGTCAATTGAGTGCTGAGGAATGGCTGCATGCCCCACTTTTCCACTTATTACAGCTTCGAAAAAACCAGACGCAGCCAAAAGTGGACCAGATCGAGATTCAACTACAGCCAACGGCACATGAGAAGCTACGTGGAGACCAAAGATGGCTTCAACATTCTCTAAAGCTCCAGCATCTATCATTTTCTTTGCTCTTCCACCTACTTCCTCTGCCGGTTGGAAAACGAGAAGAACAGTTCCCTGTCAAAACTAGAAAAATCATGAAAGCTTCATAAGTGGACAGAAGGAAACTATTGTGTGTTAAGTAACAACAGGGCTATGGTGCTTTCACCGTGTTGTCTAAAAAGGCCTACGTTAGAGAGGTCACACATTTATTTACTCCCGACCATTGCTAGCATGTTTGGCTAAGCTTAAAGTCAGCAAAACTTACTTTTTAAGAACATTTTTGTTTTCGAATATGTTACTTTTTCCTTGTAACTAAAAAGGTTACTTAACTTGACAAAAAGATAGGGGTTAGTTTCAAAGTAAGCAATTTCCTTATTTCCAACTTTGACCAATAAAAATATTATTAATTTTAAACACTTCTTTTTTTTTAAGTAAACTTGTTAAGCTTAGACAAACATGAACTAGTTTTCTTCCAATGATTTCTCCAGGGGTGGAGCTAGGATAAAAGAGTTGTGGGGGCCAAATTTCACAAAATTTTGTTTGTTGGGGCAAAATTGAAAACTACAAGGAATTTGTTTGAAAATTTTGTGCAAAATCTTGAAAAATCTTAGTTTAAGGTCTTGGAATTGAAATTTAGTGTGGGGGCAGCTGACCCCACTGCCCCCACATCTGCCCATGGATTTCTCCCTTCTAAAGTAAAAGTTACAAATATGACTCTTTGATTACACATTAAAGACGCATTTTCCCCGACACTAAGTTTCCAGTTAGTCAGAGCAAAATTCAACAAGAAGTCCAGCACACAAGGCTCTAGGGGCTAACATGAAAATCTAATAATCCTAAATACTAAGTCACCAAAGGAAACCCTTTATTGCCTGCATTGGAAAGTTAATTATGCTCCTGCATCATCTACAACTTCAGAACCGACTATTACAATGGATTAGAAGTCATATAATTGCGGTGTTACCTTTCAAACGGCTAGGATCACATTTTCCTAATTTACAAGTTGAAGAACTGAATAGTTATCATTCTTTACTGTCAGAAATCTTATTGGCTCTTTCTAGTAGCCATCAATTGAACTTCACATTTTTGTTGCTTCCAAAAGGTTACCATGGTAATCCTATCGCGCTGTACATCCTTCTTTCTCTTAGTCTATTTTATTTATTTACTTTCATTATTTATCTTCCTACACCTTCTTCAAGTAAATGTGAACCTCATTAAAAAAAGGAAATAACATATTATCAGCTTTCAGCTTCAGTAAAGGCTTCCAATGTTATATCAGTCTCATGAGCTCTTCCTATTCTGACAAACCACGATAAAGCAAACTGATATTCATCCCAACACCTAGTCCTTTCTTTCTCTTACATAAATATACCAGATCGGTGGAAGATCCTCAATGCATCTCGCCAAAACCCCAAACATAATACCAAGGTAGGACTCCTTAATCGCAATGCATTTAGTTCTGAATCAATCCAGGCTTTGACGAAAATTTTATCACCATCCAATTATTTAGCATGTTTGGCTAAGCTTAAAGTCAGCAAAACTTACTTTTTAAGAACATTTTTGTTTTCGAATATGTTACTTTTTCCTTGTAACTAAAAAGGTTACTTAACTTGACAAAAAGATAGGGGTTAGTTTCAAAGTAAGTAATTTCCTTATTTCCAACATTGACCAATAAAAATATTATTAATTTTAAACACTTCTTTTTTTTTTTAAGTAAACTTGTTAAGCTTAGACAAACATGAACTAGTTTTCTTCCAATGATTTCTCCAGGGGCGGAGCTAGGATAAAAGAGTTGTGGGGGGCAAATTTCACAAATTTTTGTTTGTTGAAATTCAGTGTGGGGGCAGCTGGAAAGTTAATTATGCTCCTGCATCATCTACATTGGAAAGTTAATTATGCTCCTGCATCTTTATTGCCTGCATTGGAAAGTTAATTATGCTCCTGCATCATCTACAACTTCAGAACCGACTATTACAATGGATTAGAAGTCATATAATTGCAGTGTTACCTTTCAAACGGCTAGGATCACATTTTCCTAATTTACAAGTCTAAGAACTGAATAGTTATCATTCTTTACTGTCAGAAATCTTCTTGGCTCTTTCTAGTAGCCATCAATTGAACTTCACATTTTTGTTGCTTCCAAAAGGTTACCATGGTAATCCTATCTCGCTGTACATCCTTCTTTCTCTTAGTCTATTTTATTTATTTACTTTCATTATTTATCTTCCTACACCTTCTTCAAGTAAATGTGAACCTCATTAAAAAAGGAAATAACATATTATCAGCTTTCAGCTTCAGTAAAGGCTTCCAATGTTATATCAGTCTCATGAGCTCTTCCTCGTCTGACAAACCACAACAAAGCAAACTGATATTCATCCCAACACCTAGTCCTTTCTTTCTCTTACATAAATATACCAGATCGGTGGAAGATCCTCAATGCATCTCGCCAAAACCCCAAACATAATAACAAGGTAGGACTCCTTAATCGCAATGCATTTAGTTCCGAACGAATCCAGGCTTTGATCTTTTAAAATAGTGGTAGGTTAATAAAAATTTCACAGGTCAAGCCTTTGAATAGTTCCCCTCTATTGGATTCATTGCTAGATGATTTGAAAGACAAATAAATAAATCCATCCCATCCAATAGCTTAATCTTTTAAACAAGGTAATTTAACAAGATCCACATTAGCAAAATGATTAAAATTTAAAACGTCCTCTTAATTTAGTGTACTCTATAATGTCATATTCTAAACCCCCTCTCAAACACCCTTCCGAATTGAAAACATCGCCACACCCACATACGC